ATTCCCAGTAAGAAATGTAAATAAATTCAGTAAATTTACTGGCAGCAAAATTTATGAAAGAACAAACATGTGTTACTGCAAAAAATACTATAAACAGAAGAAAAAATACTGTCATTAAGAAGACACAATAGCTTGCCTTTCTTTTACAAAACACAAATGTATTCAGTAATAACATAAAGTAGATGTTTTTTTATCAAGCTTAGTGGTTTGTTTGTTTTTTTAAACCACATTACAACAGATATCTTTGGGGCAGGTCATGGTGAAATCTTCATTACAATATAAAATACAAGTTCTTTTATTTATTTTTAGTCTTTCTTTCTTATTACGAGATGAAATGTGGTACTCGCCTCGTTGTTGTCCTTGGCTGATGAAAGTCTTGTTGAGCAGCTCCAAACAGGACACTTCATCTTGGAGCAAAATGTAGTTTGGGTCGCATTCAGGACGAACAGCTTCAACCTGTAAACACACTGAAAGCGCTATAACGCTGGATATGCCCTAAGGCAGAGACGAAAACTGCCATTGCTGCTATTTTGCGTTTAAAAATCTTATTAAAAGATGTGTGTGGGGGAGGCGGGGGTTAAATATCTGCTCACATGGGGACAGCGCTGCAGAAGAAGTGCAATAACTGTAATTTCTGTCGAGATCCACATGGAGAGTGCCCTGATGAGCCACCTGATAACAGAAATAAAAATAATAATAATAAAAAAAATTTAAAATAGGAATTGACCGGTTTTACGCGGCGTTTCTAAAAGCAAACACATCCATGTGTCGTTTAAAGGAAGGATACAAATCGGACGTCCTCTTCGCAAACACAGCACAAAGTGTTTCAGTCACCTTCCCAAAGCGTCTGACGGCGTCTGTGTTGATGCGGGTGGTTCACATGATACACTTCACGGCTCGCTCTCCGCGTCTGCCTGTTTCTCCCCTCCTTCCTCGGGAAGGACGATCACACATTAACGTTCCGGTGCGGAAATATTGTTTTCATTTGTTTTAATTAAAAACAGTCTTGCGCCTCTCCTGTAGGCGAAGGTACAAATACATTTACTAATGTGTAACTAGTTCTAAAGTGAGCTGCAACAGTTGTATTCTGTTTCTCTAACCCCTATCGTACAAGATTGCACTTCCACAGCAATTAACATTTTTTGAGGAACAAGAGCAGCCTCCATTAGACTGCTCCACCACTGAACCATGATTTCCCCTTCACATCATATCTGAATTCAAAAAGATATCTGGGGCTGAGCTCTAGATCTAGATCCTGGCCTAGTTTAGTGATTAAAGTTGCAATATTTTCGTGACAACATTAATTAATATGGTATTTCCCAATATTTGTTATTTGAATGTGTAATATGCAGTTCTGTATTTCTCAGAACGTCAATCTGAGGCATTCTTCACTCTTACTGATAATCTCTTAACTTCCTGAAAGTTTATCTTCACCCGCGGTTATTTTTCCTGTGCTCGCTTCAAGACTTCAGAATGCTTTTAAAAGAAAACATTATGTTTCCACAGGATAATTGCAGTCTATATTTACAGCATACAACTTCGCGATGGTTCCATGTAAATATCAAGTCAGTCTGATTTGACCTTCCAAAATAAAAGCCCTTTGAAATTGCCCATATATAACCTACTCTTTTAGTGATGCTGGTGAAAGGAAGATTCCTGTTTCCACAGGCTAATTGCAGTGCATATCAACACCACACAACCTCACAGTGGTATCCTGTTAATATCAAGTCTGTCTGATTTTGCATTTCAGAGTAAAAGCCCTTTGACTTTGTCTATATGAGCTACTTTTTCTATTACTTCCAAATGGCATTAAAAGGAAAATTCCTGCTTCCAACCACAAAAAAGACAATGCCTTATATACAATAAAAAGAATAAGATTTTATGATTCCAGAGGGAACTAGCTTATCTGCTATTTGTAATGAAAACTGAAAAAACCTGCAGATAATTTTCTGAATCTCTCTGTTTTACAACAAAGAGAACAAAGAGATGACGAGTCTTCCAGTACTGATGGATCTTTATTGTGCATCTTTCTACCACCAACTTGTCAGAAACCAGCAGACTTCAGCACAGAACAGCTGACCGGAGAGAACATCTCCAGTGTTTCAGTGCAGAAAGAGTTTAGCTAGACTCACACATTGCATTGGGACAGCCTGGTTGCATCATATTCAAAACTTCATTAAAGATCATCCTTGATAGTTGATGTGAAACTCTGAACACGTTCCAGGGCAGCTGAGCTGGAACAGCCACCACAACATGATCTTCCCTGGCTATTCCAAACTTGTCACGGACAAACGAGTGGGATTGAATCCCTGTAAACGGTTGCTGCACGAAAGGAAGATAAAGTTCTCCCTACTGTTCCCAGCAGTGCTGAAAATGACGGAGGACAGACGTGAGTTTACCAACCAAAAAACCCCCCAGGACTACATTCTGTCTTTACCTTGAGTTATTTACAGTCAGGGCTTGGATTTAAACACTACCCTTTTTTTCGCCCTAGCGTTAATTAACATGCTATCCACGATATACTTTGCACCTCCTGTTTAGTTTCAATATTATAGTGCTTCGCGGTTTGATTTGATTTATTCAGTCGTGCTACTTTTGAGAATACGACACAATCTGCTTGGTAGAGAAGCTCACTAAGATTATTAAATTCCTCTTTTAGTAATTCAGTTGTCATAAAGCTCTTCTCAGTTTGTCAAGGGACAGTTCTAACCAACCTGCATAGAGATGTGTTCAGGTAGCATAGTCCCAGAATGACTGCTCTCCTCATATTACATTGACTTGTTATGCTGCTGCTGCTGGTGACGGGTCCTGTTTATCACGGAGTCACGTACCATAAACTTTATGTTTTCTTTTTGGGGCTCATAGCCCGCCTGAGGGTGACTAGTGTTCTTGGTCACCCCAGACGTATTTGTTTAAATGTTTATCGGCTGTTATTTTTATTTACTTCCATACCCCCCTATTTTTCTTACAGCCAGCCTTCCAAATATTGTCCACTCGGTATTGAACTCCTGGTTTTAATAATAAGTTACCCCACTGTTATATGTCTGATACACACTGCATGATGGCGAATAAGTACCAAAGGGCCCTTACCTTAATGACCTGGAACGTAAAGGGCCTTAATTATCCAATTAAAAAGAAGAAGATCATGACATTTATCAAATCAAAAAAAGTTGACATTGTCTTTCTTCAAGAGACTCACTTGTCTCCCCAAGAGTCAGAAATACTTTGCCGTGATTGGGTGGGTCAGGTATGTTTTTCGTGTGGCAGCAGTCAGAGTAGGGGTGTAACAATTTTAATTCATAAGCAGCTACAGTTTAAATGCATCCGGATGGTTAAGGACGAAGATGGGTGGACATTCAATCAATCTTTATTTATAAAGCACTTTTCATACAAAAATGTAGCACAAAGTGCTTTACATGGTTAAAAGCAGCCCACCCTGCCCTCCAACTCACTCGACACTCTCATTAACATAAACGATCATGGATACATGATTTGAGTTCCTTATGTTTTGGTTTATTTTTGAATGATGGATTGTTCTTTATGTTTCTCTGGTGCTTTGATTTGTATTATTATGAATCTGTGTTTCTGTATTAGGATTAATGTTCGGGTTGTATTTCGTTGTTGTTGCAGGTTTAGTTCAGTGTCTTGTCTGTCTCACTGTCGAGTCCGTGTCCTAGTAAAGTGTGTCTTGTTTCCTGCTTTACTTTGGAGGTTCATGTTCCTGTCTTATGTCTGTGTGTCTAGCTTTGCTCCCCGTGTCTCGTTAAGTGTAATTTCTCCCGGCTGTTCCTCGTTCCCTCTTATTCCTGCCTCAGTATTTATAGTGCGTGTCCTCCAGTGTTCAGCGTTGCGTCGTTAACGTCTTCTACCCTCACTCCCTCTGTGTGTTCTGTTTGCCAGCCTGCCAACCTGTTTAGTTATTCGGTACTCCCAGTTTAGTTCGTGTTTTTCTGTTCTGCTTCATCCCAGCAGTAAAGCTGTGTATTTTGAGTTTCTTCCGCCTCCTTGAGTCCTGCATTTTGGGTCCTCTCTTCCTGCCTACCTACACACAGCCATGACAGCTATCATGGTCAGGTTAAGAAACCATTATATCTTGCCATGTCTCCATGTTTGCTTTCGTTCACAAGTGGTCTCTGCTGGTGTGGGCAGGCCACGAGTAATTGTTGGCACCAGTGGTGAGTATTACATCCTGTCCTCATGACTCTGCTGCAGGGCTTGTCGCAGGAACTGGTTTGCTGACAATCCACGATGGCTGGAGAAACTGCCCAAAAGGTTTACCAACCTTCTCCCTGCTTTTCTTACATACAAAAAGGCCATCTGCAAGTCTGTTATGATGAACTCATGCACCTCAAGTACGAGTGAGCTGGCGTACCTCCATGCCACAGAATCGGTCTGGGATTCTGAGGCAGGAGCCCATGGACAGAGGACCATTGGGAAGTTCCTGAGGAAGGAAAATAAGCCACCGGATTTCAGGTCTTAGGAAGACCCACATGCCTGGTGTGGCGTCTCTGTGTCCAGCCATTACTTGACTGACTGCCTGCTCGACGAATTCCAACGTCAACATCCAGCCATATCCAAACTCCTTCATTGCACTTTTGGGCACATCCTTCCTGGTGTGGTGGCACGAAAAGTCATGCTGGCATCTGGGGTCATGTCCAGATTTTCCATAATGAATGAAAACTGGCTGATTGTTTCATGGGTCATGGTTCAGTCTGAGACGGAAAGGTCCTTGGAGCCCATGTACCAGGGAATGGCCAAGAGGTACAGTGATGCAGGAGTGGAAAAGGCCGGCTACATGTATGTATGTGCGTGTATGTTTGTATGGGTGTATCGCTGATTTGTCATGTCACACACACATCCTGAGATCGGTGATATGTCCCGTCAAACACTTACCCTGCAATGAAACTGACCAATAAGACAAAAAAGGTTCACAA